CAAATCACAATGACAAGATTAATTTGTCTTTCAAATGTCCAATATTGATTGTGTTTGCAGTGAGCGCACAAATGCGCACTAATTGCTACAATGAGGTCACAGTCTGTGGTCTAATTTATAGCAGATTTTCAGGTTAATCAGTTTAACTTTTATAACTTAAACACATATTCCCATTATGATCCTTGATGGGAGGCAAAGTATAAATAACACAAATTCCACATACAACAATAAAAAAAAACAACCATCACAGTATACTAATTATGGGATTTAGCTAGCTTGCTACAAACTTAAATCAGCATTACTGTTTTTGTTTTGGCCACTTGGGGCCACAAGAAGCCAAAAATCTCATTTTGATATATTATCACCTTGTAATGTTGATAGGGCAGAATACTGTTTACACATCCAGCAGACACGGAGCAACATTAGCATGCATTTGATGTTGTGTTTCTGGTGACCTAATAATCTATCAGTTGCCATGCTTTGGTCTCAAACCAAATCTTGAAAAATATATATGAATTTTATCTGCTGAATGTTCCACTCTGATCATCAGCTGTGGGTTTATGTTTTCACTTAAAACCGGTTGATTAGAGCGCTGAGACTGAACCGAAAAAGTGCATTTGCTGTAAAACCAAAAGAATAAGCTGAAAGATGCTACAGTGCACCGTAGAGCTGAGGGGAACTGCAGAGATAATTCTCAGCAGGATCACCACTATGAGCGACTACTTTTGCATTTCACATTCTCATTAGTTTCATTGTTCATGTAAGAATATTGATTATTGCAGCTTTCTGATGTTATGTCACAAATTAAAAAACAGGCCAAAAAGAAGACACCAAAGTGCACCGAGTTACTCAAATATCCAAATACTATATCTCAATATAGATCTGTAACAATGCTTTAAGCCTCTGAAGATTTGCTTTCAAAATACAACTAAATTCTTGTTTGGATTGAAGCACTGAGCTGTTGATTTTACCTCTTTCATGTTGCTTTTTGCTCCCTGATTGAATCAATGTTTTATGCTTTGTTATGTATTCTGACTGCGAGTGCACTGCGTCCAATTCTTCATACACTCTAGCCTGGAGTGAGTGTGCTGGAGCTCAGAGACAGTTCAGCTGTCTCCCACTTGTTGTTGGGACTCGGAGTTGAACCGTGTGGTCACCGAGTGGATTGATGGGGGGAGTCATTGCCTCCCCTCAGCACCAGGTTGCATCAGCTAATCTTGTGAATAATGCAGAATCATGAATAAACATAGATCAATGCAGTGCAGTACTGTAAAGGAGACCTGCCTTTTTTCCCTTTCTCCCTTTCTCCCTTTCTTCTCTTCTCCACCCCTGCCTCCATTTTTTTCAACCCACTCCTATCTCTTTCTGGCTTTCTCTTCTCTCACCACAAAAACACTCTTTTTTCCCCCAATCCCTCCCTGCCAAAATCAAACACTCCCACTATTTCCCCCCCATCCTCTGTCACTCTCTCTCCGTCCTTTTCTTTTTCTCTCTGGCCACAGCAGTGACAGACATTGTAGTGCTGTAGTGTTGCTGTGTCTTGGTGCGGGCGAGTCAGGCCCGGCCTTCACTCTCAGCTCAATAGCTGCCCGGGTTTCCTCAAAGGCAGCCATCCAGCCAGCACAAAGCCTGCCCACTGGGAATAGACCCACAAAAGAGAAAGGGGCTGCTCGCCTTCTTTGCTCTGCTCCGTCTGAAGCGGCCTGCCTCCACCACCTCCTATAAATAATACAACGCTGCCTCAACAAAAAGAAACCCTGCCCTGCTCCCGCAAGCCTCTGCTTCCATCGCTCCTTTATTCCCTACCTCCCTCTGCCCTTCCCTTCTCCTCACCTCTTTTAGCTCGGATTTTACTAAACCAGAAAACCAAAGCTTTAAAGAATATTCAGTTAAATATTACATCAAATAATATATGTGATTTTTTTGTGCGCTTGATATTTATTGTATCACCCTTATCTTATCACCCATGCACCATGATATATAAGTATATAAGTATATAAGTAGTGCTGTAGGAAGGCTGAGGAAAATACTGCATTCCGATTGGCTGGCAAGTATCTGTTTAAAAACTGATCTGAACATCTCAAACATAGCTCAGGTCAGTGGTTTGACCACTTTTCTAAATCAGCTCATTAGGTATATCAGGCTGCAGGTAACCTTAGCAACCATACTTATGGTTAATGCTAGTAGTAAAACTTACCTAACTATATTGGTTTAACCAAGTAGCAAAAAACTTTTCACGAAATTGATGATTAAAAAACAGATAGTGGGACAGGCAGACAGATAATAGATAAATAGAATAGAACAACGTAGATGGCCACATAATGCCACCTAAATTTGATCTTTTTATATTATTATGAACGCATCCAGAGGGCGGATCTGGAGAGATGACATGGGTGAGCTGCCAATCTGGCCAGATTTTAGACTAATAGTGATGCAGAACCACTGACAGTATATATAGTGGACAGAGCTTCTGAGTCTGTAAAGTGAAGCCAATGCGTGACAGTGCCCAACAGTGATGTCTGACGTTTGGAAATAAAACAACTTATTGATTTCTAATGCCACCTTTCAATTCACCTTTGCTTTACTAATGTGCCACAATAATGTTTTTGAGTTCAAATATCTTCATTTGGTAGCTTTCACAAGCAAATATTGATATATGTGATTGTTTACAGTTAAATCAGCATATATTTCTGCCACCCCTATCACCCACTGGACACCCCCATTAATATTTCTCTAGATCCGCCCCTGAATGTTTGTTTCCCTTCACTTTCCGCTGCCTGACTTATGCCTTTATAGTTCTGTTAAGGCACTTTGTTAAGGTCGTGGTCTTGGTTAAATGCTAAAAAGTCAACACAGACCTGAAACACGGACAAATGTGAAAACAGTTATGTTGTCCCCTGTGGCTCTGGAGGGAGCTCTCCAGGGTTCGACAAAATAAACCCAATGATGTCATCAGGGTTACCCCGAGCTTGAGACATTTTTAAACAAAACCTGCATCACAAACTGAAGCTTGAAAGTAGCGGCACAAAGACACTATGGAGTTGCATTATGGAAATTGAAGGATCCACCATTCTTGTCTCATTCTATGGACAGTAAGGATATCTCAGCCTCTGCTGCTTTAACAGTTCTCTTCTCTGAGCCTCGCAAATGTATGGAAGTGCAATACTGAATTGCTGGAATATCTCTTTAAGAACACAGCGGCTGTTTTTGCAAACAGCACTCCAGAATATCATACATACATCACGCTGCTATATAATAATTTATGTGTTTCTTTTGCTATTTACTTCATACTGCTCCCTCCCTTACTTACTCATATATCAACCATATTATTTAACTTTAAGGAATTATAATAAATACAGCAATATTGTGCATATTCTGTACATCATTTCTCTTTCTTGTCATTTAACTCGTTGTAACTATGTTGTTGTCGTTGTAAATATGTGCATGGGTTAGGTTTTTGTGTGCATGTATGAATGGCTGCGTGCATGTGTTGGTGTAATTTGTCAGTGTATTAATGTGAATGTGTGCACAGGGATTAGGCTGCTATCAGTGAAGCTCTCCCAGCCTGTCAGGCTTTAGGATGGGCCTGGACAAAGAGGCTGATTTCAATGTAAATGCAGCAGCTGAGAGGACACAGCTCTCTCAGTGGGGTGACTTCCACCCTCCGCATGCACACACACACAGAGAAACACCATGCGCCTTCAGATCAGGATACACACACTTCAACATATTCAGTGGAATAGTAAATACACACTTTTCAGCCTCTATCTACTCTGTGTTTAAGAAACATGTAGGTTTTGTAAAGGAAACATCACGAGGTAAAATGCTGAAGATTCTTTTAGAAAGTTGGGCATTACTAGTTCCAATCTGATGTCTCTGTTGTGTCTTTGCACCTGTCAGTAATTATAGATATAATCTGGTCCACAGCGCTGTGTTGTGGCTCTCACAATCCCAAGTCCATCATTAGGCCAACCATTATCCCCATGCCTGGCCTCTGCACCTCTTATTACATGCAAATAGTGCAGCTTTATCTGAGTAGTGAATGAGACCCCCGTCTCTAAAGAATGGGACACCCTCCTCTTCCACTCAAAGCCATTCCTCCATCTATTACTGCATTCTCTGCTTCAATGCCGACAGCACAGATCTCATGGCGTCAGCGTTAAAGAAAGACTGCGGTGGTTGGCGGGACGCAGATAAGTGTTAGGCAGAGGGTTGATGGACTGAACAGCTAATGACCAAACTGGCACTGTCTCAGCCTGTTGTACAACATTAATTTGATTTCAAACAGTTTCATATTTATACCATTTATTCATGGTATTTCCACTTTCCAATACTAATTTGACTTATAAAGGTATTTAAGTGCCTTCAAAAGAAAATAAAACACGAAACGAATATGTATTGACACATATATACAAATGGTCTTCCTGGAACAATAATGTGTCTTATATTCTTTTCTTGCAAAAAAAAGTTTAATTTTCACATGTAAAACCTTAAAAAGTCATCTCCTTCTTCTACCTCATTATAAATTCCAGAATCTGTGAATAAGCAAATGTTGTTCATTTCCAAAGTTTTCCTGCTGGACACAAGATGTAAAGTCCATTCTCAGTGGATGTGCACTGGTGGATTCAAGTTTCTACATCACCCTGTAAAGGTTGCATACTGGACTGATTTCCTAACTATTTATGATGTTAATAATCATGCTGGTAGGCCCCGCCCCTTAAAATCAGATTTCCAATGAGCATATGAATCATGTTACAGCTAAAGAAAGGGCTGTATAAGGAAATGGAAAACTAGTAACAGACAATATACAGATGCTGCTCTTTACAGTACTGCAGCTCTTAATTAATATTTTTTTAAATATTTAGTCAAATAAAATAAGATCATTATAGTTTCACCTTATGTATGCCTTCATATGTTCCCTGTGAGTGTGTGGAACTGCAAGCTGCTGCTGCTGCAGCATACTGTTTGTGTCTGCCTCTTGCATGGTAATGAGCACGTACCTGTCAGGCAATCATGTGCAGGATGCTGCCTCAGGTCAGTGTTTGCTGCCAGAGGATGCCTTTCCATGACTGTTCCTTCGTGCACACACCTGTATGCTGTCCCCGCTCTCTGTCTGCAGCTTGACATTTGGTACAGTGAAGATAGAAGACACTGCAGGGGGAGAAGACGCAAGCGGATTAGAAGTATGTAGGCTGACAGGAAGGAGAACATTTCCAAGTGAGTTGTTAAAGATAGACATGGTTATTAAAAAGTGAATATTTGAATATTTATTTGCAGTGAGCGTCTTTTTAGGGTTTATGAGGAGAAGTGTCTTTAAAAAGTGTTTTACATTGCTAGATGTGGCATTTTATGATTGCACACTTGCTTTTAAATTTTGGAACATTTAAATCATTGCTATAAGCCAACAAGACCATCAGTATAGAGGGTTAAAACAGGAGATGCTTAATGGCTGGATGTGGTTTAAGACAGCACTGTCTCATACCTTCTGGTTCTGCCCTTCACTTACTGCATTCTGTTCAAAAAGATTTGATTGGTTCCTTAAAAGGTCTATAAAAGAAACATCCAACTGGAAGCTGGGCTTGTCATTTTCGGCTACTCACAATCAACTTTGTCCTTTCCTACAGCCATGCAACAATCCTTCATGCTGGGGAAGACTGGGACCCATTTCTTTATTGCCTAGACAAGACCAAGGATCACTCATACTCACCCATTTCTCATAGCCTTTGTTAGAAATTGAATGTATAGCACACTCAAGCACTGGCTTCAAAACGCAATCCACAAACCGATGGGTGACTTCACAATAGGTTCACACATGCATGCAACAAATCTGCTTGACCAATCATGACAATAAGCTATTGAACCTTGAATTTACAGGAACACTTGCATTTAGTATCTTGAGGTGTTTTCGAACTAATCTGTTCTAGGAACTTCCTGAGAGGAAGAGCGCACTGGAGAGCTCCCCCGAGAACTATACCTTTAGGGGCTTTCTTTGTGTTCACACCGCCAGTAGTCACGATAGTCCGGTGGTTGGTATAGCAACGTCCTTTTAGCCTTTTAGCACGACATACAACAACAGATTCTACGACAACAATACAACAAGATGGAGGAAGCCATGGTCGGAATTGGAAAAGAGATGTGCAAATTTGGACTGTGGTTGAAAGAGCAAGAAGGAGAGCTAAGAGGTGGAAACGCATGCAATAATTGGTAGTACTACCTATTATGGAGGCAGAGAGAAGAACACAGCACTGCATATATATATATATATATATATATATATATATAAAAAATACAATGTGTAAAGCAAACAGTCTAAAGTTAAATACAAAAATGTACGACTAGATTAAGCACCGTACACTTCTTCACTCAAAGTGCCTTGGAGAGTACCAAGTGGGAGGTAAAAGATTCGCTTAAAATCGCGCTCTAAGAACTACCCCCCCCATTCAGACAAAATTGTTACAACTGTGCCCCATTAGTTTCCTTTTTGGCTAATTGCCACCATGCTGAATTAGCTATTAGCAGTTCCTGTTTGCAATGCACCCATTGGTGCACAGACAACTATCACTTGATTACTAGAAAATAGAAAAATGTAAGAAAATTAGAAAATGTAAGAAAACTGATCATTCTCAGGCAAGTTCTAAAGAGCTTTTCTTCCTACAATTTCTAAGTAGATTCATGGACGTTTATTTACAATGAACATCAGACATGTTACATTTGAAAAACATCAGTCACCCTGAATCAGAATTTTTTTTTATGATGTCTCTGTGTGCAGAGTTTAGGACTCAGAGAAAGCACATTTCTTGCAATAATTTGCAGAAATTGGGCACTAAGTGTTTCAAGTTCTTTTTAGAACACAGGCACTGATCCCTTTCACCTCACACAGTATCTTTGCCTCATGTCTCTCCCTCTGCGGCCCCTTTTCAACTCTCCCACGCCCCCTGGGGAGACGTGCCTCACACTTTGAAAACCTCTGTGGCCAAAGCTCATGGGTATTGTAGTATTTAAACGATAGAAAAAAACATGGTCTCTCATAAACTATGTTGGAATAACTGTTGGCCATTACATAAACCTACAGCATTGTTTCATTATCCAAGCGTCTTGTTGATGGACATGGAAAATATCAGTAAAAGAAAGATATGAAATAATAATTCAGTGTGAGAAGTGCCACTGCTCATTGATGTTTTGCTTATATTCTGGGAAACAATAGGGATAAAATGCTGTTTATACAGAAATCACTAATTCCTTCACTGTAAAACATGCTGAGTTAGTTTAACTTAAAAACCAATCACTCTAAACCATTTAAGCTTATTAACTTTAATTTAAGCATCAAATATATTTGATTTGAGTAGAAGTAACTCAAGTATTTATTGTTTAATTAAGTTAATTGTACTATTTCCATTCAATTAATTGAACTAAAAAGTAGCAAGTATATTACAGTCATATGCAGTATTTCCCTAAACTTATTTAAAATGTGTGAACAGAATTTATCTGAATAAAGTAACTTTAATGCTACTTCTTTATACAAATGTTACCACCAAGTTTACCACAATTTATAATTAATTGATTATCAAAATAAAGTAGTAACCAAATCACTGTATTTTTTTATGTGACTCACATCAAATCTTTACATTTTGGGTGATCATAAAGAATTACCGTAATTTCCGGACTATAAGCCGCTACTTTTTCCACACGCTTTGAACCCTGCGGCTCAAACAATGATGCAGCTAATCTATAGATTTTTACGGGCTAACGTCCTCCAGGGGGCGCTCTAGCAGGAAGCGCAAGAGCGAGACAGATAGGTGGAAGAGATAATGCGTCGAGGAAGACGCTAGTTTGATTGTGTTTTGAATTCATTCAGTTTGAATTCATTCAATTCATTCAGTCATTTTGCGCATCATGCACACACCCTCATCATGGAAAACACAAGAAGAAATGCACATGATGCTGCTTTTAAGTTAAAGGCAATCAATCTGGCTGTCGAAGAAGAGCTGCTGCTCGTAAGCTTGGCATCAATGAATCGATGGTGAGACGTTGGAGACAGCAGCATTTATTTAATAAAAAATTTAAAAAATCTTTCTGTGTAAATATCTCATGTTACAACGTGGACACCTGCGGCTTATAAACAAGTGCGGCCTATATATGTTCAGTTTGTTTTTCTTTTTAAATTTAGTTGGTGCGGCTTATATTCTGGTGTGCTCAATAGTCCAGAAATTACGGTATTTGGATGCATACTTGGGCATTTGATGATTAAGAAACTGATATAAAAACAAAAACTGAAAAATCCTGAGTTATACAGCATAATAGCACTGACCATTGTCAGTGAGGCTTCCATTTTTGTAATTATATAAAGTCTACTTCAAGAAAATGAGTCAACGGAACAATCTGGAATTATATCGTTAACACTTAAAATACTGCACAAATTTCAGTGCGCTCAAAACAACTGAGTTGCTTTTACAATGTATTTCTGAGTAGGTATTCAACTTTCTTTTCTTTCACTTCTCATTATATTGTTTTCAATTGTTTACGCAGCCCCCAATTGCCCGTTTCTGTTGGTTGAAAATTCCTTTTGGTAAACGCTCTGTACGAATAAATAACTTTAATTTACCAAAACCATCTGGTTTACGTTGCTTCCCTTTCCCCTTCCGAGCTGGGTCGTAACACCATGTAAAGTCCAAGTTTTGTTTCCCCCAAGGCCTTTGCTCTTGCACTGCCAGACACCCACACACTCTCACTGAAATCAAATTAAAAATGTCACAATCCAATCCACACAGTAACAGCAACCTCAGGAGCTCTATTGTCTCAATAATTCTGCCATTGTCCCTGTTAATCTGTCTGAGCATTGTCTGGATAAATCCATAACACACATGACAATAGAATTCACAGCCGGCTATAGAAAACATACTGTTCATCCCTACGAGGATAACATGGGACAATTACTTGAAAGGTTCATCAATTTCTCAACCATCTATGACATTTTTCCTTCTCCAGATTATCTTTTATTTGGTTTGGTGTGGAGTACTGCGTGTTTTAGCTACAGAGGGGTATACAGTACTCTTTCACTGAGCTGTTCCCATTGGCTCCAGTCTTTCCTGCTGGAAGAACACGATTACCATGCTGCAGTTGTAGCCAAATACTCACAACTGGAGTAATTAGCCAGTTCTTTATCTTGCAATTCATTTCTCATTTGCATAATTTTGACACATCCTTTCACCCACAAAAGTGCAAGCGGCAAACCCACACACGCCTTCTATGCACACACACAGAAGATACTTTGTTTATCCACTCCTGTCCTCATTTTACGAAACTGTTTTTAATTCATTCCCATTCTTCCCTCGGTGGCTCTGCTGCTTTGCCTGTGTGTCACATGTACGTGCAGAAAAGAGAGAATCAGAGAGAGAGAGATAAAGGGAGAATAGAAGGAGAAAGAGAGAGCGAGAGAAAAAATCAAAATGAGCCATCTCTCTCCTCTCCTTCTCTTAGTGACCGCCGCTTTCTGATTCTTTTCAGACATGACAACCTGCTGGGTGCTGATAACAGGATTAATAATGCTGAAAAATCCTAATCGGGGGGAATTAAAAATGGAATTCTCCCATTAATATTACCACCATGTCAGTGGCAGCACACTCACAGGTCTGCTGAGCAGGCTTTTCACACCACTAATGAATAACAGCTTAAGGGATTGGTGATGTATGTATATGTAGCCTGTCAAAGAATATGGATATGCAGTCATCTCTGACATACTTTCCTGCAATAACCTAATTCTGTAGGATTAATTGAAATATAGCCTAACTGTGAAGCTCTTACACCCATGGGAAATCTACAGTATTAATAAAGATCTGCTTCTAAATTGAAGATGTGCTGAAAGCTAAGATGCTGTGTGTTTCTGGGCTACTTTGCTTTCAAAGCTCTTATTTAAAGAGTGCCTCGGTGTGCTGTTGCTCTGAGCAAACAACAAGTCAGGAAAGATAGAAAATCAAACTGAGCGTGTTGCTGCGGCCAGCCGAGGTCCGGCTGGGCTCGCCGTCCCAGCGGCATCCACATAATAAGACGGGCTTTCTCTGCGTGAACAAAAACAACCCCAGGTCGCTGCTTGCTGCCTTCTTTACAGAGAGATAGAGACAGACAGACAGGAGGAGGATACTGTATGATCCAGTGGAGCTGAGGGAGCTAAAAAAAAGAGATAAAGAAAAACACAAAGAAGGGAGGGAGAGGGATAGAGAGAGAGATACAGAGGGGCCACGTTTCTGACTGTCAAGGTAACTATAATTTTAAGAAAGTAAAAATAGATAGCATATAGAGACAAATCATCCAATTAAATCATAATATTAACTGTAATCTGCTATACAATGCTATACTGCTGTATTGCGCTAAAACTATACTCCGTTATATGATGCTGCATATGAATTCATTTTAATGGTGCACAACAGATTAAAAAAAGTGTGCATCGGGTACAATTTGGGATGAACTCGTTTCTAAGATCTTTGCATTGGTAAAATACAATTTATTTACATATAATAATTAGTAGAGGCCTTTTGCCTTTATTATTTAGAAATGTGACAAATAGTTTTCTATTTAACTCTCACACTCTCTGGACCGCTGAATTGCATGGCATATCATATTCTTTTGCACTGTGTTAGTATTGCATTGGTAATTGCATCATATGTATCTGTAATGTATTGGATACTTGGCAGCGCATTGAGATGTATTGCACATCCCTACAATTCTACTGCATACTTATTATGTTAGTAACGAACATACACTATACTAGAATACAGTATACTATACTATACTATATATACTATACTATACTCTACTGTTCTATTCTATACTAATATATACAATTCCATATTCTGTGACTACATTTTAAACCTTGTTTTAGCCTACATTTGATTCCAACTTGGGACTTTTAAAAGTATGCTGAATTAGGTATTAGCAGTGTAGCCATGGATGTGTACACAACTATCACTGGATTAAAAAGAAGAAAACTTAAGAATGTGATGATTCTCAGGCAAGTTCTGGAGTTATAAGGAGCGGGTTATCTTCTATGATTTCCAAGCACAGTTACGGACGTTTATTCTCAGTGGATCAGATCAGATCGGAGATAATGATATACTCAGAAAGAGCAAGTTGAACCGAATCTAAGAATATGTGTATCATGTCTGTGTGTTCACATTTTACTTTGACAGTTATGTTTTAAAATACCTTAATTGTCTCAGTGACCTGTGTGTCACTACAATAACCTGATTCCTGTTATTTTTAGAACACCATCATGAACCTGACCCTTTCACCTAACACAGTATCTTTTCCTCACGTCTCTCTCTCCGAGCCCCCCCCCAATCCCCCTTCAACTTCAATTCCAGAACCCTCATGTAGCACTCCTCTGCTCAAAAAATACTACTGTATAATGTGCTTATGATGACCTATGAGCACAGTGCAGCCAAAACGTGGTTGGCATAAGGCATATGCTGACTTCAGGACCATTACTAAGTAGCACCTCTATTGTACAGCCTGACAGCACAGACGGGTGGTGTTAGAGCTACAGTGATCGGTGTGTTGCGTTACATACTGTCCTGCAGCTCCCAGAGCCGTGGAGGAAGGTTGCTGAAGTACTCATGGTTCAGCGCTGCCTGGGCTGACAGCCGGTTCTTTGGGAAGCACTGGAGGAACCTGGAGGCCAACTCCTCAGCGTGGTCCACGTAGCCCAACCTGACACACATAAACACACACTATCAGTAAGAGTGACCACAGAAACATACATATACAGTTTAGAAAACAGACAGGCAACCTACTTTGTTTCACTTCATAAACCATAGAGTTACCTATCATACCATTCATTCATCCCTCTGAGAAAGCAACTCGGTTTTTATCCAATTCACAGAGCTGCTGACAACAAAAAACAATCCTTTTAATTATGCTGAAGTTTTGCTGACTCAAGAGGAAAAACACTTGGATGCACACACACACACACACACACACAAACACACAAACACACACACACACACACACACACACACACACACACACACACACACACACACACACACACACACACACACACACACACACACACACACACACACACCTCTTTTGAGCTTTGCCTCGCACATGGCGACCGGGTCACCATGAGAAACAAGACATTGTTCATTAAAGCAGGAGCTAAGGCGGAAGCAGACCCTCTGTGAACATGTGAGTCTGCGTTGGTACTGGGAGTCACTGAACTCCTGAACCAGCCCTACCTAGCGGCGCCAAGAGATTGAAAATAAACGAAGAGCAACAAATTCAGGCAGTAATTAGGCATCCACAGCATTAAATAAACATGATGTTATTCAGCACAGCTCGCTGGCCCGCCGCTCGCGGTACTCAGACTGCCTCTCATGTTCTGCAGGCTTCTCATGGTTGGCTCCCTAGTCAAGCACTCTGACAGCCACTCCCATGGCTCTCATAGGGGATCTCAACTCGACTTATCAGCAGAGAGACAGGGGGAGGATAAATCTCTGTTCAACTCATCAACGCCACTCAGCAAAGAGGCAGAGATAAAGTTAATGAAGTCCATCAGGGCCTCTTCTCGCCTCTTTCTCATACAGCTGGAACAGTCTGTGTAACTCTGCTGCAAGGTTTAAAGACAAACTAGTCTTTGTGTGAAACTACACTGGTGGGAAAAGGCCTTCTAGATTACTGGTTCAATGATATGGGCTTTTAAGGTCAATGCTGATACTGTAGCTTTAGTTTGAAGCAGCCAGCTGTATTTTTTTCATGTTCCAACTTGTGCACCACCCCAGCTCCCATAGTCCAGTTCAACAGCAAAGCATCTGAAAGAAACATCTTCATCCCCACTTTAGGCTGTTTATTTTCCAGGGCTTATGTGGTTTTGATGCAAGAATATAACTTTAAAAGAAGACAAAACAATATGACAAATGTAGAATGTTGGACAGACTAAACATCAGAGTTAGCCAAGTGGAAGTAGAGCTTTGTACCAAAAAAACAAAAATCTCAGACTGTTTACTGCAAAGTCTCTGAGTTAATGTCCGCATTTAGTGTGTAAAATGGAAGGGGTTATCTTCTGGGGAGCTTGAAGGTGTCCATCAATTTTGGTCTAATGTTGGCACTAGAGGAAAGATAAGGAGGACAAAATGAACACAATTCATCTTCTTGGGATCATCAATATGGGGTTACATAGATATGTTGTGAGACAGAGGGACAAACAGAGTATCATCATTCCTAAAGTAATACTATAAAACTTCTGTACCTTAAAATAACAGCTTCAAAGTCATTTGCACGCTTAGTAGTAATAGGGTGAATGATGGTGCCTCTGTTCTTGCACTATGTAACTTACTGTATGTCTCCGGGTTGGAACAAGTGCATAACGCTACATTTTTGACAGTAAGTCACACATCAACAACTATGTCACTGATTTTGGTGAAACTGGATCAGATTTTATGAGGAAATTTAGAAAAATGTATGTGATGTCCTCCAGCTGCTCTGTCCCAAGTCATTGTGATTTACAAAGTATTTTCATGGACAGAGAGCTTTGCATGTTCCTAACGTTAGCTGCTTACTGCTTTTAACTATAACTTAGCTGCCATTAACTAGTTAACTCAGTTAGTTGGACTGGGAGCTCATTGGAGCACTGGGGGAGCACAGGTTTGGATTGCTGGGAGGAAGTTTTCAGGCCTGAAGCAGGGAATACTAGTGGTGTGGGAATGAGCACCAGAACCAGAGCCGGACAAGCAGGCAACATAACTGGGCTCAGCAGCCTCTACAGACATAACGGCAGAGATGAAGGAGGAAGATAAGAAGAGAAAAAGAGAAAGATACTGAGCAAGAGGCAGGATAAGAGATCTTGGACTGGCTTTTAGTTGTTGGCGAGAACTTTGTGAAATAAAAGGCTGCAGTTGGACTGGTCAGTAATATTAGCTGGCTTGCTTGTGTTGTTGCACTTGTTTGATGATTGGCTGTGTTAGCAGAGTTCTTGACTGGCTTGATCACAAGTAAGTTAATCATAATAAATGTGCATGTACAGCTTTCCATATTTACCACAGTGGCATATAAAGTGAATTACACAAAATAATTCTTCCATAATGTTGCTTTAAGGTCCAGTGTGTAACATTGAGGAAGGTCTATTGTCAGAAATGAAATATAATATTCATAGGTATGTTTTCATTAGTGTATAATCACCTGAAAATAAGAATTGTTACCTTAGAATGCATTCATATCTACAGACGCCATGGGTCGCCTTCCATAGAGTCTGCCATGTTGAACTGCCATGTTTCTACAGTAGCTCAGAACAGACAAACCAAATACTGGCTCTAGTTTCTCCTATACACTTAGATTGGGAGGGTGAAATCAGTGAATCTGCAACTAAACTGCTACATGCCACTAAATTCTACACATTGGTCCTTTTAAGGGGCACTTCACATGAAGGTCAGTTTATATGTCATGGGAAAACTGTTGTATAATATCTGCTCTGGAGGAGCTTGGTCAGGTCTGGGAAAATAACCCCTGATGATGTCATCTCAGCTTGGACTTGAGGACTACAGACTGGAATAAAAAGCTTGCATCATGTAGGCATTCACTTGATATGGATATGTCTAAAGAAAAGGGACTAAAAAGTCAGGATATCTCGGCCTTTGTAGCTTTAATTATGATCTTTCTTTTTTAAATCTTTCTTGTGTGAGTCCCTCAGCTTTATGAAAATGAAACACTTAATCACTGAAGTACCTCCCCTAAACCTTTACTGCCAGTGGGGTGAAATAAATCCCCAATGAAGCCCCCAGAATCTATGTTCTCTGTAACAGTGGGGTGTGTCTGTAAGTGAATTCAGCTTGACTTGGCTTTGCTTTGTGGTTTCTCTGCAGGCATAGAGACAAACAGGGAGATATGTGTACGTGTGAAATCACCTGGATATGAGCATGCTGGCCTTTGAAAAGTGTTGATGTACAGTAGGTGCACATTCCTTCCTGCTATCGCTGTCAGCTAGGCCGAGTGAATAATCACACATCAGCAGTAAGATCGATAGCATCTCCTAAAACTATCAGACAGCTCCAGGTGATGACACATTAACGGCAGTTAGAAGCATTCCTTCCTCAGTGGTGCATGCTTTTTCACGGTATTCTATCAGAAAAACTACACTGATGACCCGGTGGAGGGCGAGACAGAAGAAACCACCTGCCTGTATTGTCCACCCCACCGCAGCAGAAAGTGGCAGAGCAGTCTCTGTTTGAGCAAAGCAAAAACCACGAGCTGTTTTGGAAGAGAAGCCTTTGTGTTTTCTGTCTGAAGACATCCGGTGAAGAGCTTTCATCGTGTCTGACTCACTGGGCTATGATGGGGGTATTGTGAGGGCAACTTGGAACTGTGCAGGGCAAACAGGCCCTAGCATGCAACTATATCACAGATGTCAAGTTCTGTTTACAGTAGTGATTGACAGATATTGATTAGAGAGAGCTGATGACAACATTTTTAATGCCGGCAGTCAATATTCAATGTTTTCAAATGTATCAAGTTTAAATGCAAAAATGCAGTGATGTAGTGCAAGAGAAGTCCAAGACCAGGACTAGTCGAGTCAAGACCAAATGAGAAAGACAGAGTCAAGATCAAGAATGCTTTTGCTAATGAGATGAGTTTTGGCAGCCAGGCATACGATTGCAAGTGACAGTGATTGTCTCTATCAATGCCTGTTCTGGATGGATTTGGATTCAAACCAATACCAGTTTTCTGAACAAGCACTTGCCTACTTCCATCATCAACTCTGGAAAAAACAATGTGTTTCATTCTCTTTTACCATAAGCCTGAAGTGCCACTGCCCCGGACAAGTGGGCAATCCCTATTGTGGAGCCCTGCAGCGTTTTTCCCAAAATGTATTCTTACTTAGCTTAACAGCTCCTGAAAATAAAATCTGGGAGGAGCGGACTTGTTACTGGTTAGGTCGCTTGTTCAATCCCCAGATCACCAGGGGATTGGACTGTGATTGTGTCTGGGCTGTAATTTGTCCATGTACTCTGGAATGACATGCAGACATTCTGATCTGGCGTCTACCAGCAGGACCACATCGTTTGTCTCTTTAAAATCTGTAACAATGGTTTGAGTTTGACCTTTGTCACCATGGAAACAATAATAAACACATGGTTTAAAAAACAACAACATTGATGGTCAGTTGTAAACAGGAAATGAACATCAGTCTTCTCGTGTTGAAGACCAACTTTTTGTTGTCCCATCCATCCAGCCCGACCTCCTCCCTGTGCAGACTCTACAATGTCACCTGACTTCCTGCTTTGTTCTCATCAGAATTACTGTGGACACTGGAAGGCTTTTTCTAATTTTAGAAACTTGACTTATTAACTTAACCTATTTTCATCATCGATTAATCTGTTGATTATCTTTAAAATGATTTGATTATTTAGTCTGAAAAAAATTCAAACAGTGGAAAATGTCCCTCACAAGTACCAAGATTCCTGGATGAGTTTATCAAATGTCCTGTTTATCTGACCGAACGAAGAAATCATGAAATATATTTAATTTATACTGATGTAAAAAGCAGCACATCCTCACATTATAGGGAAGCTGGAAACAGAGAATATTTCTTCTTGTTCAAAAGACTTAAATTATTAATCAACCAGTAAAATTGTTGCTGATAAATCTTCTATTGGTCTTAGATAATCAACTAGCAATTGCAGTACTTAAAGGTTGTATTTACTATTACTATATTTACCCTTATTAGTAGCAATAAGAGTAATAAAAGTGTACATGTGCCATTATGTGAAACCTGGTAAAAAAGAATCATGATAATATATTTCAAAGCCTCATCCTAAAGTAGAGAGAGTAAGTAAAGTAGAGTCGGCATAATGTTTACTCTCCATTCAGCAACGTTTTACCTATGCAGTATTGTCAGGCAAACTGCCAACATGCATCTCCTGTCATAAACCAATTACAATTAAAGTGCATGTAAGTCTTAATTTTAACAACATGACCTACAGTTGTAACACCGCTAAAAAAACAGCAGTAAATAGGATGTGTTAAGATAATGTGTAAAACATAATGATATTATTAAAACTTACAGGATGTACCAGTTGGTGCATTTCTATCCTTCCTTGTTGGCACTGAAGATTGATGGAAGTTGTACAAACACTATACGACATTAATCTGATTTCATTTGATGATATCTGACTGAACACACTTACTGGCCCACAGGCTGCATGCTTTTTGGAAATGTAACGTGTTCCAAATGAGCTGCTGGTCACTGGTCTGCTATGGCGATCCTCACAGACAAGAACAAGCATTCATGCATGACATGTGAAAGCTATGCTAACTAACGAAGAACAGATGCATGCAGACAACCATGTTGACATGTTTTGTGCTTAATCAGTGGTTTCCAATCCTGGAGTCGGTTGGTAAGAACACAAGCTACATGCACAGAGCCTTCAGTCTCTGTTAACAGCCTCATCCTGTATTAAAAAAGTATTAACCTAATTGAACAATAGTGTCAGGGAGAAGATAACATTGAATTGGTCAATAAAGAAGCCTATTAAGTCTGTATGATTGTTAAAAATAAAGAAAATACAGAGAATTGTTCTTAAAAATATCCTGAAAACAAAATCACTGATGCTCATTTTACACAAACTTCCTGCAGTAATTGTATTCCATGTGCAGTTTATCAGTCAGGGGTCGTCACTTTACTCAATGATAGAAAGGGGGTCTCCTAATGAAAAAGGTTGGGAGCCACTGTGCTAAACTGGATTTCCAGCCATGAATCCCTGCAGAGTGGATGAATCCTGCTGATATTCCTCCGGGATGTTTAGCACTGCACTGACCACATGCTGACGCGATATGGTCATGATGGTATTTACGCAGCAAGGGAAAACAGACAGACCGAAGCCGACTCTCCCCTACATAAGTAATCAATTAAACTGCTTCATTTCCATCAGAGAGAGGACAAACTGCTTTCCACAGTCACTCACTACCATACTTACTTCCAATATCAAAGTACACAAACACATCAAAATACTATAAACCCCGACCCATTCACTGGACATCAATCATTCACATTTTTACAGCTGGAGGAAGAAAAACAGTGCAGAGAGAAGTGGCTGACTGCGAGCAGAAACAGGAGGGTGTGAAGGGGTGAGCCAACTCTCAGGGCGGAGACAAAGTGAGCGCATACCAGTTCATATCGAATTCATCGTTCCCTGGCCTGGGATGAAAGCTCACAGGGAGGAAGTGATGGTCATTAACATTCCACCTCACTTTCTTTCTTCACATTTTTATTTCCTCCTGGACTGGAGCGAGGCCACGAGACTGGGGAGGGGACAGACAGGGAGGGGGAAATCCACTTCGACGCACGTTTACTCTGCTTTTCATTTGTTGTCCATTTACCTAACAGCAGTTTCTGTATTGTTAGGCGAGGCTCAGGATAAATAAAAAAGCATTTCATTCAAATATACTGATTAAAAGGATTGTTAAAGAGAGAAATAGATTGTTATATCTCCACTGAAGGCTCTGCTGTTCTTGACCTGGGTCAGGAAAATACAACCCAAAATGACTAAAGATGCTGATTCATACAGAGATGGAATTTTGGCACATTAAGATCAGTAATTTGCGGTGTAATTCTTACTTTATAGATTACAGGCAAAGCAGATTCTACCCAGACTCTCCTGGGATTGAGGACACAGATGACCTATGTAATTATTATAAATCACAGGAGGAACCCAGGTATTACCAGTGCTGTGTGATGACGAGGGCTTTAGTTAGCAGATCTTCGCTAAAGCGGCTATACTTTGTGATTCGGGCTGATTAGACAGCTGGAGTTTTACATAAATCACTTTGCCTGGTGCTGCTTTCAAACTCCCTGAGGAAAACAGACAAAAACTCCACTTTGCCCTCCGTGATTTTCAGCCCCTCCAGATGTATGCCTGGGGCAAACAGTGGCGCACATCTGGAGGGTGGGAGCCCCAACTGTGCCACCACGGTGCCCTTTTCCCTGCCGTATGTGTGTTATGTCCCAGAGCAGGAAGGGTGTGTGAACTACCCACGGGATCATTTAAAGACAAGAGCAAGGATAACAGTGAGTCCATCAGTTACACAGACAGAGAAACACACACACACACACACACACACACACACACACACACACACACACACACACACACACACACACACACACACACACACACACACACCGATGACAAACTGTTATTTGAGGAGATCACTTACTTATTCCACGCTTGTCTGAGCTTCTTCGCGCTGTACACTGTAAAACGGTCTGTAATGAGAAGACAACAAACCAAGAATTCAGTCACTGAACTTTGTATCTGGTCAATGTGCATTTATCTCATCACATTAAAGTTACACACACGCTGTACTGTTCTGAAACGTCTCCAAACTAAACTTTGGCGAAACCCAACGAGCAATGCATTGGTCACATTTGAGATTTTGGCCTCCATATGTCTTCTTTTACAATAATAAGGAATAATAATTATACTAATAAGGAAATGCCCAGCATATACATTAGGTGTTTATTTCACTACACTTAGTCTATTTGTGTCTTTTCACAACACAAAGTTTTTCATTTGCAAATCTAAACATACAATTTTAGAAAACTTGTAAGAATGTATGAAATGTCAGAAATAAACTGGGGAAGTTTCATGGTGATATCTATTAGTTACAAAAAATCCTATTCATCTGTAGTGTTTCCCCTAGACACAGCCAAATTCCATTATAAAAACATGGCATTTTTATGTTTCATTGGTTAATTGCAAACATTCATACCATATAACATACTGGAAATTCTCAAATTGTGGCAGGGCCTTTATTTGTTTATTAGTGACAACTAGGCCAGTATTTGAAACATGCCTCCTTCAGAGACTAAATGTGCCTGTTTATAAGTTAATTTGATCATATTTTAGTAAGCAGCCTCCTTGTTTTCTGATCTGCTCCTGTTGACACTGTTTGCTGTGCATACAAACTCAAAACTTTCTCCTTATTCACCCATTTTCCAGATGAATTCAGCACAACATTCCCACTGCGTTAATTCAACAACAGAGTGATGTCTCACATGCACTCACCACGTTGCTGCTACAGTTTTCAATCACTTATTCTATTGCTCCCCCTTGGCTATTCTTTCCACCTAACTGCTGTTTATCCACCGTCAATAAACACTCAAATCTAACCACAGTGCCTCAAAGGGTTTATCCCTTTCGTTCCTCAAAGGCTTTTAATTTGAAATACATGTAAGAAGTATCTACAGGAAGATACAGTAATCCAAAAGAACGTGGAAAATGTGGTGCTGTAAGCAAACTTCCTGTCAGTCCTCCACCCCACGTCTGAAATTCTGCTTCCTAACCTTGAAGACCGCCTCTTTGTGGATTTCTCTCTCCTGTTGGGACAAAGTCGGAAGGGGATAGCAGAAAATACATTTTCTGTTTAGTGCAGAATGTATATTTTGACAAAAATACACTTACAGCACCTTTAATTAGTGAATGAAAACAGCAGTTGTGCTAAAAAGTGATATGTGTGTGTACTGTTGTATTGAGTGCTGTGTAAAATGTTCATTTACAATGTGAGCCATAACAGTGCAGGTAATTCCACCTGTCCATAGCTTAGCAACCAGCCTTTATGTGTTTGTTATTTGGGTCTCTTATTTATATACTTAATTTAACTGTACAACTCATTAAACAGACAGCAGCCATTTTGACATGAGTTGGTAGGGTAAGCACAGGTGTTACCAATGATAATAATTAAGGCTCAGTTCCATTTAGTGTAGCAGAGCCTTTCCAGTGAGCCAACCATTTAACCAAAACAACAGAATCAGTCTTAGCCCCACAAAATGACTGAGTTTGTTTATACAATATACATAATGATGTTGTCATGCAAAAAAGAGCTGTCACTTTTGGGTAAAATAAAAATGTTTTTTAAATGATATGTATGTACCTTTTCTCACAGCAGCCATTTTATCGTGTGATAGCAGGAAAAGGACAGGAGTAACTAATAACATTAACAGTGTGCTGTTCAATTATGTGTCTGAGAAAGCCATACAAGAGTGTCAGATCATTTTAAAGGAATGTAGCCATAATTAATGTAATCAATTACACCTGTGCTTTTCCTGCTTTTGCCATATTAGAATGCCTGTTGGCTGTGTCAGCCACACTTATTTTAAGGATGACTATGGGACAGCAGGAAAACTAAATCAAACAGTTGAAGTTTCCCTGCAATACTTTGTACATTAGCTCGCCAAATTAAGGAGTGGCTCATATCATTTCAGAAATGCTCTTGAGTAATATTGTATGAGCTATGTGCTTCTGCTCCAAAGCCAGACCACATTAAATTGTCAGAATTTTGAGAGGAGTTTGGTGAGGCAGTCTCTCCATATTTCCACAGCTATGTTTATTATGCTGTGAGCGTGCGAGGCTCTGCACTGTCCTCTTACTCTCGGCCAAAACTGCCATGTGGACACGCAGTCTGAGCTGGGCTGCCAACTGACCGGCTACCGCGCAAGCTCGCCAGCCACCCAGCGAGCCGGCCCGCCTCCCGCACTGCCAGCTTAATCCTACTCGCCAACCACCCGACTGCCTTTCAGTTCTCGTCCTTCAGCCTGCCAGCTACAGCCCACAGTGGGTCCAGTCACACAGTTCAGCGTCAGGGCTGGCCTGAACTGGACACAGCTTCCTGGGTACCAGAGGTGAAGGCTGGCAGCCAGAGTGCCCAGAAACAGGCAGAGTGAAGGTGAGAGGAAGAGAAATGATAAGATGATACATGTAGGCTGTTTATTTTATCTTTATATGTTACCTCAACTGCACAGCAGCACACTTGCAGGTCAATCTAGATTAGCTGGTGTGTTATATATGTATACATTGCAATATTAATGAATAAATTCCATATCCAAACATGTAAATCTTTCTCTGAATTCCCTCAATTTATATATTATTAAGACGTGCAAAATGTAGTGGTAGAGGAATATATCTAAGAGAATGTATACCATTATATATTATCAATGATTAATAATCAATGAACATTACTTTAAATGCAAAAATAAATAAATGTATGCTACGCTCAAGGTCACTGAAAAGTACCTCCAAAACCCCTGGAGTTCTCAAATTTAAATTGTTCTAAATACTTTGGACATGTGGAACGCCTGACAAATAGATTGAAGCTCAAAACTGGAGGTTTCTCTTCTGCTTGTCTGCACACCACTGTATAATCTACAATTATGTTCTATGATGAATGAAAGTGCTCCAGTTCGGAACGCGGTGTAAAAGCCCAACATAATATATCAGTAAGCAAGAGAGTAGAGTGGAGGGAGAGAACTAAAGCGAGATATGGCTGCAAATGAGGAAATATCTGTGGAACCTTTTCGTTACCACAAAAATGTGAAAGATAAGTGGTACCTCTACTCTGAGGTCAAACCACACTGTTGTGTTAGAATCAGAACTTAAAAGATGTACTGCAAAGGCCAGGATGGAACAAAACAAAAAAAATACAAAAAGTATGCATGTAGAAGTAATAGTGGAAATGTAATGAATCAGAAGGAGGAGAGTGATACAGGCAGCGTGTTTTGGAAATGTGTGCAGAGAGCAGTCAGCTCAGGAGGGCTCGGTGCTGTGGAAACTTTTCCACACTGATGCAACACTGCCATCTGCTGCTCACTGCAGCCCCTGGACTAGATTTCACAGTATCTGATTCTTGACAACAAATATCAGGCTATTGGAATATTGAAAAGAACTCATCAAGGACTTAGCTCCAACAAATGATTTCCATATCTAGAGAATAATCTACATCCAGTGAATTCCTCAGATGAATATTCAGTAACTATCTATTTGTACCACTGACACTGGACCAACAGAACATCCTTTCTCTTTCCTGTGCTCACTAAAGAGCTCCATTAGAAGCAAATAAAAATGTATATTATAACATAAAAATATTCATATATATATATCTATATATATATATAGATATATATATCATATATTACATTTTCTACTCTACTTTCGTCACATGCACATGTGATGTATAGTTTGGCTAAAACAGGAAACTATTTATTGGTTAACACCATTTTAAATCTTCCAATGTGTAACAGAGATAAATTCACAATAATCTAACCTTTATTTGGATGGTTTTTCAACACAGTTTAAAAAAGACCCACAGACCCTTTCAGATAATGTAAAGAACAACAAACCTCATAGTTTGCTTTGGGTTTGAATACTGTGGTATTATCACTATAGATGAACTCTGAATAGCTCAGAATAAACTTTATTCTAACCAGGAGGTAACCTTCAGAAGAGCTTTTTTAAATCAGTCAAACAAGTGCATTTGTATGTGTTAGCAGAAGATAATAATTCCATTTTATGTGGTGATTCTATTTTACTACAAAATGATTATCACAAAACATCCCATCCCAGTTTTCAACCCACAAGAATGATCTGATAAATCACTCACAATGTGCCTGTGTTGATTATATCCCTCTGATTATTGCGCACTCTGATTGGGCTTCTCCTGTCATTCTGAGGCTTTGTGATGCTTTATGAGCACCACCATGTGGTTAAGTTTTACTCTTCCTGTGTTTGTTAGGAGTGCAGCCATAACAGCATCAGATCTGCAGACATCACAACAGATGCATGTGTGTGCGTGTGTGTGTGTGTGTGTGTGTGTGTGTGTGTGTGTGTGTGTGTGTGTGTGTGTCTCTGTGTGTGTGTGTGTGTGTGTGTGTGTGTGTGTCTGGCGTGTGTGTGTGTGTGTGTGTGTGTGTGTGTGTGTGTGTGTGTGTGTGTGTGTGTGTCTGTGTTGCTCAGACAGCTGCACAGCTGTTCAACACAGTGCATGAGAGGCAAACGAGAACCAACTGTCGCCATGGCCCCAGGATGAGAGATTACATTTGTATGTGTTGTGCGTGCATGTGACCATGAGAGTCACCCCAGTTGGTCCCTAATTGGCCACTGGAGATAGAAGGCTGGGTCACATAGCTTTGTGATGCCTTGCTGCCCGCACCATCACTCTAACCCTCTTTATGTCCATCTTCGCCTGTCCCCTGTCCTCCACTCCAGCTCTTCTTCCCTCCATAAGCTAACACTAATCTGCACTCCCTCTATTCATGTTCGCTCTAAAAAGCCCTAATGAGCTCCCAGAGGGCAGGGCAGCCCTGGCAGAGCTGCCACCCCCACTCCCCTGCTGCTGCTGCTGCTGCTGCTGCTGCATTAATGGAGTACAGTGGGCCTTTGGTAGGCTGTCCCATTGGTTCATTCTGATGGTCAGGTTTGGAGTGCTGTGTATATAAACAAATGTGTCCCTGGTACATCACATGGCTTCCCTCAAAAACTGTGTATGCTAAAGTGTTAGCATAGAGCCTGCTGTCAATCATCATTGTGTACACTGTGCTATTATGGAGCCTATATGTAATTATATGTTAACACTTACATACAGAAGTGATACATGTTAGTATTAGCATCCAAGAATCTAGCAGCAGCGAGTGCTTTCCAGAGCAGCTATTTTTAAACTAATATTCAAAATTATAAAAAGGAGAAATCCATAATTCAGGACATAACACAGTATTCATCAATATCCCTACTAATAAGATTCCCTATGTGAGACCCCGACAGCATTCCAACAGGCTCCATGCGTCTGTGTGTGGTCTCTGTCACCATACACAATGATGAGTGATAATAGGCTCCATGCTAACCATTAAGCATATACTATGTTGTTGGCTTCTTGCTAACATTTAATCATACACACTGTTGAGAGACAGCAGCTGGCATGCTAACACTTAGCCTATCCTGTGCTCTGTATGTTGGTCTAAGGTTAACTGTGATTCAGTTGATCGTGAGTGTTGAAGAAGTTAGTGAGGAATGAATGTAGTCACTGCTTTATGATGTCACAGGTCTCACCTGGTTTAAAGTGAGGCAAAGAGTTGACGCCAGGCCAGGTGTCCTCAGATGGGGTGCCAAGGACCTGAAAAAACACCAAGAATGGAGAGGACAAAGTGAAGGAGTGAAGCGATACATTTTTCTTTTTTTTTTCTTAGATGAACTCCAGCAGTTTCCATGCACATCAAAACCCAATTCACCATCTTCGATGTGACCTTCTGGGTTAGTGGAAAATAAAGTAGTTAGCACTGAGGAGGGACACAAAATAACGAATCAACCACATTGCTACATCAATTCATCACAAGTTTCCCACCAATTAAATATTTTACTATTATTTCTATCCATTTCAATTTCAACGACTAGCATATACTAACTAAAACTAGAGCACATGTAATAGAGAAACTCCACCACGATTGGCTGTATGACACATTTGAACTTCCAGCACAAAATGCTTGTGCAATAGTCGTGATTAGTACATCTTTTATGGAAAGGCTGGCTGAGTTCTCACGCACACAGCCTGGGTTTATGATGACAAAACCCAGAGCAGCGGACATGCCTTCCACATGATCCATCCAAGCTAAGCAGCATAATAGTTTCCAGATTGCCAAGTTGTCTCTGATCTGCAGCACACTCACTACAGTAGAGTAGCTGCTCAGAGAACTGCTGGATATCTACTGCAATGTTAGAGCACAACGCATGCAAACACACGGTGGAATGGGTCGTGGGATCACTGGGATACATTTGTTTCAGATGGCTTTTGTTTGCATGGCTGGGAGACAAAGCAAGAGAATGAAAGTAAAGGTTGAGGGAATTACGGAATACGATTCGAGACCACATACATCCCATGTAAGAAATTACAAATTGATGTGGTTAAGGGGACATGACCAAAGTGAAATTTAATGGAAACCAGAGGAATTCAGAAAAGGTCAGAGGCTTGTTTAGCTTATGTTGGCCTGTTACTGACACAAATGTAAGTCATAGTTGATGTAATAATGAAACAAAGCCACTAGAGGGCAGTAAAGCACTATGAGGCGGACCCAGTGAGACTTCAATAAGAGCAGTCAGGGACAAAGACACTGCTGTTTGCAAGCTCAGCTACTGAACTTCATTCAGTGTCATCAGCTTAATCTACACTATTACAGTTCTGGGAGAATATCATTAATTATTTCAACACATGACAGCATACTTTGGTTTACAGATGTGAAGGGTGTTAAATGACTGCATTAGTGAAGAAAGGAATTCAGTCATTCTTTAGTGAGTAATTACCTCTGTTTCTGTTATCAAAAGCTCTACTAGTGCTTTTAGAGACGATAATATGCCTGCATTGGCAAAACACCATTTACTCAAAGGACCATTGTGTAGGACTTAGTGGAATCTAGCAGGGAAGTAACAGTCTGCAAACAACTGAATACCACTCGCCTTCCAAGCGTGTAGGAGATATCATGGTGGCTACAAAACAAACAAAAAAAGGGCTACTGTAGAAACATGGTGGTTCAACATGGATGATTCTGTAGAAGAGGACCTTCTCCCTCTGTAGATAAACAGCTCATTCTAAGGTAACAAAACACAATGATTCTTATTTTCAGGTGATTATACACTAATGAAAACATACCTATGAATATTATATTCCATTTCTGACAATTATAGCCAAGTATAATTTCCACATTCAAATCTTTAAAAAGTCATCTCCTCCTTCTACCTCGTTATAAATTCCAGAATCTGTGAATATGCAAATGTTGTTCATTTCTAAAGTTCTCCTGCTGGACACAAGATGTCTCCTACTTCACTGTAAAGTCCATTCTCAGTGGATGTGCACTGGTGGCTTCAAGTTTCTACATCACACTGTACAAGTTGATACTGGACCAGGACTGACTTCCTAACTATTTGTAATGTCACAAACCCTGCTGGTAGGCCCCTCCCCTTAAAATCAGATGTTCAATGAGCACAGAGAAACTTTCTACAAAAGTTTCCATCCTTCTAGAGTCAAACTCTGCACAGACAGCATTCAAACAGCACACTGTAGGGACAAGAAGAAACACTGGTTTCTGACTTGGGGGGGGGGGCTTAAATATGCAAATACTCCTGCAGGACAATCAAGAAGAAGCAACAACTTCTACAGCTACAGAGGATCTGATCATTTTATTCTATTCTCGTAAGCCACATGTTGATGCCTGAGTTGCTTACTCTCCTCATATTTTTGTGGGTTTTCTTTCTCTGAAAACTGCCACTGCTCTACAACCAACATGCCCAGACAATCAGAGGGGGCCTGTGGATGACTGTCAAGGGCAGATCTACTTTCATATCAAGAATAACATACACTGTATACAGGGGTGAACCAGGGAAACAGGGACAAAATGAAGACTTTGAGATCCCTGTTGAGGAGAGCTGGCCAACTGTTCAATGTAGCGTTGCACCTTCCAGCTTGGATGAGCAGGATCATAACAGGATGAGTGAGTCTTCTGCAGACAGGGGTGGGCAGGATGAGTTATGGGGGAGGAGGAAAGGTTGTGGCAGTGCTGCAGGGGTGACGTAGGGGGAATGAGGGGGCATGTGAGAGGATCTCAATCTGGCCCACAGAGCTGAAGTCGGCTTGCATTATTGATGGAAAGGCTCAGCAGCCTTTGAAGTGAAAAGAGCGAGTGCTGAGTGGAAGGCTGGTTTGGGGATGGGTGTGAATGTCAAAGTCTTTATGAGGACATCAGAGGTGGGGGGAGTTGTAGCAGTACTGCTGGGGGTGTAGGAAACATATCCTGACAGCAGCCATCAAACCAGCTCACTTAGAGAGCGACTTACTGTTAGATTAGGTGGTGCTATGTTTTTGGTTGTTTCACTATGATTTGAAATAACAATATGATGATAAGCAGAAAGAGCTGAGTCAGTCAGCTGACCTCAATCCACTTGCTCATGTGTATCATGCTATAGACCAGACTGAACGTAAAAGCCCCCAAAACATGCAAGAAGTGAAGATGTCTGCAGTCCTGGCCCCTGGCTCAGCTTTCAAAGCTGTTCCAAAACTAAATGACTCCATGACTAAATTCATTCTTTAACTATATTAATTCAAAATGTGTTTGAAAACATGTATTCCTATTTTTAACAACTTTATCTAGGGGAGTAACATACTTTCTAATAATTTCTCCAGGATTGCTATTGCTTTTCTTTCTTTCTGTTCACTGCAGAAATGTATGAAGATATTGTTACTGTAGCTTCACTTTTTTTATTCTTTCCAACATTACAGTGCAGCTGTAGCTTATTGCACTTCTGGCGCTTAAACTTACAAGTAACCTTAAATCTACAGTAATGGTCTCAAGTCATAACACACACTTTGCGTAATGTCACTGTCTAGACTTCAGTATCTATACTTGCAGCAGTAAGGCAGTATATGCAAAAAATAAAATGAATGTTTTCAGAAGAATTGCTTATCTTACTGCATTTCAAACGCTTTGGTATAAGTTGCTCATTTCATATTGCTATTGGAACACGATCTAATGGTTTTCACTGCAGGTTCCTCCAGTTTTTACTGAGCTTGGAAGATTAGCTTTTAGTTTTTATGCTTCTGCTACATATAATTCTTTCCAAAGACCCCTGAGGATAAATACTACTGTACCCATTGGTGATTGGAAATTATTCAACCTCTGTTTGCATTTGTTTTACTTGAATTGTTTTATATCTTGCATGGACTGTTTTTCTAATTGTTTCAATTACTTGTTTTATTTTATCTCGTCTCTTTTATTAGTGTTTTAATTTATTTTATTTTATCTTTAATATGTTTATTTTTATTATCATTTTGAAATGGTACTTGACATCATTTAAAAGAGGGCCAGCATTGATCTTTGAGTTAAAATAAAAGTGTATATTCAATCACTGAGTAAATGACCATTTCATATGCTAAGTAGCTATTGTCTGACAGCATCATTTTATCATGACAATGAGCATTTTACTGTATTCTAAAATGCAACAACAATTCGAGGATGGAGTTACACAGTGCTGTGATGCTCTGATGATGATGGATAACTTAACTGGACAGAGTGGTTTTTATTTTGCAAACAGTACTATATGACATTTGAACCAAACATCAGGGGTAGCACATGGAAACTGTAGTGAAAACTGAGTTTAAGCACAAACACCGTTACTTGTTCAATTACATTCTGCCTGATATTAGACGACCATATATAAAAAGAGACACGTGATGTGAAGGTGAGCACCCAGAAATGAAATTGAAGAGTCAGCACTTGCACTGAACATATGTGTTGGAGTAGAACCAACACAACAAAACAGTGTTGTACTAGTTTCTGACTGCACCATATCTTCCCTTGTTTTGACCAGCAACCAGCCTTGTGCTAATTACTACCATTTCTAAAATCTTGACAGAAAAATGCAGTGATGGATGAACTTAAAGAAGCTGGAAAACAATAGCACAGTATATAATCCCCCAGGGTTTTGTCACAAACATGTGAGTAGTTAGTTATAATGTCACAGCTATCATGCCTGTTAATATCAGACTAGCTATCTGACTAAGCAGTTTGTGAAGTAAACTACATATTATCCCACATCAGATCCTAATGGCTATAATTATATCCCTTCAAACAGGGCTTTAATTAAAACATATTTTTCACAGTTTTCATGACTCAAACACCCGGATCTGGAGATGCAGAGGAGGGTGCTCCACAGGTGGAGAGTCCCCAGAATGAGACCACTCCTCCATATTTTTTATTTTTTACTTATTTTTTTAAACTTTAAAGTATGCAGAAGGTAACAAACAATTTACCCTGTGTATACAGAATGCCAGTGGGGCTACGATGATGAGGTGTGTAAAGCTTAAAGGTGGTATATGTGTGATCAGATTTTTGGTTGGTACACAAGTTATAAATTAAATGTATTGTTTGACATTAACAACTCAGCTCAGAAACGTTTAATTCCTCTTAAGTCCCACCCCTTTTTGCTCTGTGCTCCATTAACAGTTAAACAAGCCTCGGTCAGAACTTTCTCCTTTTTTTAGATATGCTTTGTGCTAGGTTCATCTATGTTGAAAAGACAACCACATTTTGAAGATGGTTTAAGGATAAAAGTGACATATAGTCACCTAAC